CACTCTGGTTCCTTCTGGATCCCAATGACCCCCCAGGATGAACAAGGCCCCGCCCCCTGGAGCTTTGGCCACACCCCCAGCCTGCACCCCACCAGCTGCCTCAGGGAGCTGAGCATCAGCCTGCAAGGCGGCAGCCCTGGCTGACACCTGCTCCCACCGGCCTCCGGGCCATGCTGCCCGCAGCCCCCGCGGCACCGGGATCGAGAGGCCCTGTGCACGCTGCTCTGGACTTGAACACGAGCCCCTTCCAGCAGGAACGCTCTGCTCCAACACGGGCCTTGGCCGTGAACCAGAAAATGGGACCAACGCGTCCCATGGAGCCGGCAGTCCTGCTCGGAGATGGCCGCTGCCTCCACGCCCACCGGGGGTAAGCAGGGCGCGCGCCCACTGTATCGTGTCCTCCACCGTCCTTCCCTCCGTCCTTGTTACGACATAGATAATGCTAATGAAGCGCACGTCTATCTCTAAGGTCTAACCTATAAAACCACACATAGGTGCGTCATGTGCACCGTGTGTGAGCATACGTGATCGGGAACGCTCCACGGGTGGTGCAGCGGTGCCCAGCATGTGGGCTGCTCTCTTCCTGGGCTGGGCACTGGGTGAGGCCCATCCTCGGGCTCCAGGAGGGTCAGGGGCACCTTTGGCCTGAGCCATGGGCGGTGGGCTCCTTGACCCCCCAGCTGTGGAGACCCCCCAGCTGTGGAGGCCCCCAGTGGGGGACAGGGCAGGGCACCGAGGAGGAAGACGGCCCGGGGGGAGGTGCCAGATGCTCTGCGGGCTCCTCCAGGGAAGGCCCCCGGGAGGGCCCCACCCCCAGCGGTCCTGACAAGGAGGGGCTCACCTGAGTCGAAGGCCTCGGGGCGGTCCTGGGCGCCCGGCTCCCAGACGCTCATGGGGCCCATGGCCGAGGCCAGCTGGTACTGAGTCAGGAGCCGGTGCAGCTGCGCGGGGCTCAGGGCAGGGAATGCGGCCTGCAGGCTTGCCCAGCTCATCTAAGGGACAGCAGGCAGGCGCCCGAGGTCAGGGCCCAGCAGGCATGAGCAGGACCCACTCCAGGGGTGGTCTGCCTCTGAGACCTCGGGGGCACAGGCAAAAGGCGTGTCCCCAGCCAGCACGCAGGCCTCGGGCCCATGTGCAGGGGTCAGCTCGGGGTCACAGGCGGTGCCGCTGGTGAGTCGTGTTCCTCTCCGAAGCCGGCGGGTTTCTCTGTCCACTGTTCTGAGGCCCATGTGCAGGGGTCAGCTCGGGGTCGCAGGCGGTGCCGCTGGTGAGTCGTGTTCTCTCCGAAGCCGGCGGGTTTCTCTGTCCACTGTTCTGGCTCCACACGTGGGGCCACGTGCTGCGACCACATGTGGGCCGGTGCGAGGCTGCGGGCTGGGCTGTCCTCGCTTGTGTTTGCTCCTGGGCCACTGTTTTCTCAACTCTTCCTGGACTCCTACTGTTGGAACGTTGGTCCTTTCATTTGCCTTTCTTCCTTGCTCGCTCTCTCGCTCGATTTTACTGCCAACAGCGAGGCCCAGGCTGTGGTCATCCAGTGTCCACGCTGTCCTCTTGCTAACACCCCAGGCCACACACCAGCTCAGGACAGCAGTTGGCCGGGGGTGGTTCTTGCTGATTTCCCAGCTCCTAGAATCCCCGCCGCCCTGAGCTGTTTCTCCGGCTGCGGGCACCGAGCACCCCGCTTCAGCTCCTTGCTTTACTTTCCGGGTGATTTCCTCAACTTCATCGTCCAACTCTGCTGCTAGGACTTTAATGTCCAAGGGTCCTTTCTATTCTCTTTCTTACAGAGCCTGCTGGTGCTCGCGGTGGTGCTGCGTTTATCTTTGTGAGGACATGCGTGGCTTTTCGAAGGGTTTCTTCTCCTTGGACAGTCTGGCCAATGGGGGCCTGCGGCTGCGGGTGCACAGCCCTCCAGCTGAGCGCGGCTCCCGTTTCTAAAGGGCTTCAAAGAGAATAAGTTGGGACTTCGATGTCTGTGGCCCGCAGAGCCTGAAACATGTCACCTGGCCCTGCACGGGCAAGTCTGCCAGCCGACCTGTCCCTCCGACCTCACGCCCCACCCCTGCCTCCGCCCCTCCTGCACCGTGGGAACCACAGCAGTGCTCCTCGGGGGCTGCTCCCCCCACCTACGGCGCGCTCTGCAGTTGGCAGGCGCCTGGAGCAGTGACGCCCCTGCTGGGGGCTGTGCAGCAGCTGCCTCACGTGGCCGGCACACCGCCTCCCCTCATGCTGCTCTTAGAGGTCTGTCTGCTAGTTCACTGATTTTGGCTAAGAGTTCCTTCTACCTGCTCTGGGTTTGACTTGTTTTTCTTCTTCTTGCTTCGTGGTGATCGCCCAGCCTTCCCTGCTTTCTAACATGTGTCCTTAAGGCTATTGTTTTGCCTGTTGGCACTGCTTTAACTGCACCCACCAGTTTAGTATATGCATCTTCGTCATCACTGATCACCCTGACCCAGTGGAGGTCAAACTACCACCAGTTCCACTCGGCTTTTCAGAGTGTTTGCTCAGTTTAAAGCCCTTCCCAGCCCACACCCTGGAGCTTCACGATTTTGTCAAATGTCATGAGGGGGAAGCACCGTTCCTCTCAGGCTCCTCAAGGGTCGCACGTTTGTCTCCCTCGCTGTAGACAGCCAGGCTGCTCGGAACGCCCCCAGCTCTGGCCCATCTGGACGAAGCCTAGACTTCTATCTCACACAGACCCTGGTCCCCGATGAGGCAAATGCCCCAGAGGAAAAGCCACCGCAGAACAGCTTTGTGGCTGCCTCGGTCCCCGTGGCTCCGGGGCTTTCGGGGCCTTTAAACCGATGGCTGTGGCGTGCCAGCCGCACTCGCAGGCGCTCCGTAGGCGCAGCTGTGCCCCTCCTCACAGCAGCAGGATGGGTGCCTCTTGAGGCTTCTAGGTCTTGATCTTCGGGTAAACGTGGATTGTTCCACTTTTATACCAAACTGAAATGCCCGCCGTCCCCGCACGGACATCATGCTGTGCTGGCTGTGCTGGCGTCAGCTCAGGGCTTGGCCTGGAGATGGCCGACAGCCACATTACCGCCTTGGTTCAGACATGCCCTCCCCGGCGGCCTGTACACACGCTCACGGTCACTCCGGAGACGCGTTAGGGTGATGCCAGGCAGGCAGGGAGCACCACTGGTCTGGCTTCATGGATGATCTGTGACAATTTGTCAGGCAGCTGGTGGGGAGGAGGGTGAGGTGGTGTATTAGTTTCCGGTTGCTGCTGTAACAGATGACCACTAGGTAGCAGTTAAAGCAACAGGAATGTACACTCTTACACTTTTGGGGGTCACTCTGGGCTCAAATCCAGGCCGGCAGGACTGCGTTCCTTCCAGAGGTTCCAGGGCAGGGTGGTCAGAATGCAGTGCCTGTGGGGGCACGGCCCTCCCCAGCTCTAGGAGGCACTGCGGGCCGGGCCGCGGCCCCGCCTCCATCTCCAGAGCCAGCAGCGCGGGTCAAGTCCCTTGTTTTCCTCTGTCCTGTCTCTCATCGCTGACATCGGAAGGGCTCGTGCGATTAAATGGAGCCCATGGCTAACCCAGGACACTCTCCCATCTCAGGATCCTTAGCGTCAATCCCCTCTGCAGAGCCCCCCGCCCCCCATGTGGGGTCACGTTGTCTGTGGCAGGTCAGGGTCCAGACCCTGCAGACCCCGCCCACAGACATTTTGGGGCCGTTTTCCTGCTCACAGGTGGGAACGGCTGTGGGACGGAAACAACTCTGCAAGTTCTCTGAGGCCCAGAAGCCAGGTTCCCCACCC